GGAAGAAGAAGGTAAATGAGACCCATAGACTTGGACAGGGTCTTCTAACATTATCTTCTGGGTGGAAGTAGAAGTTAGACGAGACCCATAGACTTCTACAGGGTCTTCTAACATTATCTTCTGGCTGGAAGAAGAAGGTAAATGAGACCCATAGACTTGTACAGGGTCTTCTAGTGTTACCTTCTGGCTGGAAGAAGAAGGTAGATGAGACCCATAGACTTCTATAGGGCTGTAATCCATCTGCATGGCCAGAAGGGAGAGGACTTGAGGCACAGGTTGCTAGTAAACAGCACAGGCCTCGGCAGTGGCGTAACCAGAGTTCTGGGCGCTCGGGGCAGGAATTACGGCTGTCATTTTCTCTCTGATTCCTTTCATCCCCGCTGGGCACTGCTCTATGTCCCAGCGGGGATGAAAGGAATCACGGCCGCGCCGACAAAACGGCAGGAAAATGTCACTTTCGGCATTTAGCCGAAAGTGCAATTTTCGGCCGGCGCCCCCCCTTCACTTTTCGCCCGGGGCCCGCGCCCCTGCTGCCCCCCCGGTTGTTACGCCACTGGGCCTCGGCACACAGTTTTCAGTAATTATACATCTGTGGAGGGTGGGATCAGTTAGCACAGGGCATAAGTGGATAAAGTATTAGTCAGCCTTACTTCTCAGTAATTAAAAAGACCCGGTCCCCATGGATTTCTATTTCTTTATAAATGTCATATCTGTTTGTCAGGCTGAATATCTCTTGCGTTTTGCTTTCCTTGAATAGTGGCTCCAACCCCTGTGGCAAAAGGCTGTCTACTCAATGCTAGGTGCCACCATGTTGGGCTACTCCTGACCTGGGGACCCTAACAATTAGTGGAGGAACCCCCATGGGATGGAGCAGGGGGGTGCTATGCTTCATCACTTCCTCTTTTTTACCTCTTTTTTTTACTCACAGGTCGCTTAAAAGTGACAGTAACCTCTTCCAAGCAGCACACTCCTGACTGACCGCCTCTTTTGGTGGGCTATTGGCCTTGAGCTTGCAGCTCAAGGACAATAGGACAATAGGACAATGCTCACACGTTCTAAGGAGACCTGACAGCAGTCCCTACCCCACTTCCACTTTCTTTGTACTTCCATTTACGTCAGCAGCAATGTGGCAGTACATTTATCGTCCTGATAAAAAAATGTGGCATTGTCTCCAGTAGTAAATTTTTCACACAAATTGATCTCAGTTTGCTGCCCGTGAGTGCAGGTGCAGGGGTCACAAATGAAAACTGTCCCATAGACTTTGTTAAATGAGAGGCAGTCTGATTTGCATCTAATTGTGTCACTAATTTGCTTGATAAATGTCCCCTAGAGTGTGAGACTGTGCTAGAAAGTGAGCTGATAGCAGGGGGGTAAGAGCAAGGGGGAGTAACAACGATCCGACACTCCTGAAAGTGTCAATTTTATGATGTCAGGAATAGCCATTGTACCTCTGAAAATGAACACTATTTTGACCAAAAACAACATGCTCAGTGAGTACTTTTCTTGCACTATTTCCTGCTGTACTCTGTTTAAAAAAGTCTGAGGTAGTGACAGGGTCTCTTCAGTTAATTTCCGATTATTTACTTGTATTTTCTCCCTGTAGTTTCAGAGGTATGACAGCCTACGGTTCCCCTATAGGCTGTTGTACTATTGCCTAAGCTCCGTGCTAAGTCATATAACAAAGGAGCTATCAGCATTCCATCAAAGAAAACTAAAGTCTTTCTTAATCAACAGTATTTGCCTCCTCCAGGAGCCATGAAAAAGTGTAATTTATCAGCACTGAGCTGAGAAGACATATCAACCTCTACGAGGGCCTTACTGACACTCACACTATGACAGGTAGAGACTACAAGAGAAGAACAGGACACACACACACCAGTCCCTGGAGGTAAGGCGGCACTATACATAACTTTAACAACCTAATAGTGAAGGTTTAGATTCCCACCAGTTCTGAATAGTTTGATTTATCATTGGGTTGAAGAAGTGTTCATCAAGCAGGGTGGAACATTATCATTCTTTTTTAATGTGCTAGCTTGCATATCTAATAATTTCCAGTGTAATCTTTTTACACCATGCAAAACCTTGAATGCTCATATCTATGAAATTGATTGTTCATTGCTCAAGGAACCCCTAGCAACCTGTGAAGGAACCCTTGTGTTCCATGAAACCCTAGTTGAGAAAGGCTGGTCCTGGGCCAATCTGGATCAATAAAACAGAGAGCGAGAGAGATATAAAGGGAGAGAGAGAGAGAGAGAGAGAGAGAGAGAGAGAGATATGTATATACATATACATAGACACGCACACCACACACACTATTTTTGCAGATATGTTACTGAAGTAGGCCATACTGTAGCACACACTTTATAAGTCAAGGTCTAGTTTTGCTCTGGGTTTTCAGATATTTACTATAAAGGAGGTATGAGCAGTACATAATGCATTTTTTTTTTATGAAAAATAAAAGGAATGTAATTGTTAGCAAATACATTTAATTTTTTTAAAAAAAGCACAACAACAGTGCTATGGAATAAAAGTTCTCAAACTTTTTCTTTCTGATGATGTGTCATTTTAAAGACAATAAAAAAAAAATTCTCTGAACTGAAATTTGTGTTTAAACAATATCTTCTTTAAAGAGACTAGACTAATCATTTCCACCAAAAATATTCCCATAAGATTATACATGCGTATACCATATTTTATGCACGTTAATTAAATGTAATAGCTTCCCGTGTGTAGACATCCAAAAACCCTGAGACTGTTGCCAGGCTGGGCAGCTTGGATGTCGTTGTATGTCATCAGTCCCAGCAGAATCAGAGACCTTAGTCAAGTGACACTCTATAGTATTCCCCTTTGGTTCTACCCCGGCAGCTAAATTGGGGGATATTATTGCAGCCACTGACACCAATGCTGGGTACTATTATTGTGACCACTGACACCAATGCTGGGTGTTATTATTGTGACCACTGATACCAATGCTGGGTGCTATTATTGTGACCACTGACACCAATGCTGGGTGCTATTATTGTGACCACTGACACCAATGCTGGGTGCTATTATTGTGACCACTGACACCAATGCTGGGTGCTATTATTGTGACCACTGACACCAATACTGGGTGTTATTATTGCAGCCTCTGACATCAGTATTGGGGGCTATTATTGCAGCCACTGACACCAATGCTGGGTGTTATTATTGTGACTAGGGATGCACCGATATATCGGCCGCCGAAAAATATCGGTCGAAAATGGCACTTTTGGCATAATGTCGAAAGTGCCATTTTCCTGCCGATACATCGGTGCATCCATTCTTTCTTTCCTCCCCGCTGGGCGCTGCTCTGTGTCCCAGCAGGGAGGAGAGAGAGTGTGACAGGCTGCCGAGCGCTGCAGGAGGAGAACGCTCAGCCGCCTATCACAGTCCGGCACAGCGGTGTGTGGGCGGAGACAGCCGCGCTGTCGCAGGAGGCTGATCTCTCCTACACCGCTCGATCAGCCTCCTGTGACAGCCTGTCAGAGAGGAGAGCAAGGTAGACACACTCAGCGATCAGTAATCGCTGAGTGTTTTGTACATAATTGAGGATATGGTATGTTAACTATATCCTCAATTATGAAGGAATGGGAGTGATCTACATCACCCCCATTCATTCATAGTTGTAGTTATAGTAAACATACTATGTCCTCATGTTATCAATGAACAGGAACACTCAGTATAGAGGATTCCTGTTCATTGATAACAGGGGACACAGAAAAAGAGATAGAGGACTTTGTGTCCTCAATCTCTTTTTCTATCAGGATATCTGTTATCAGGAGTCTGTTTAGACCCCCAATATTCCGCCGAAGCCCCTAAAAGTAATGTAAAAAATACAAATATTTAATAAAAAATGAATTAATAAATAATAAATATAAATAAATATAAAAAAATTAAAAAGTGTATCAAAAAATAAATAAAAATAAAATATTTAAAAAATTTGAAAAAAATGAAATAAAAAACATTTTCTGTATAGGTTTCGGCCTGAAATTTTTTCCTATTTCGGTTTCGTTTCGGTTTAAAGGAGAACTATGAGGTGAGTGCTTTTCACTCACCTAAACGGTATACTGAGCTTAGGGTGATGGAGGATGCTAATTGTGACCACTGACACCAATGCTGGGTGCTATTATTGTGACCACTGACACCAATGCTGGGTGCTATTATTGTGACCACTGACACCAATGCTGGGTGTTATTATTGCGACCACTGACACCAATGCTGGGTGTTATTATTGTGACCACTGATACCAATGCTGGGTGCTATTATTGTGACCACTGACACCAATGCTGGGTGTTATTATTGTGACCACTGACACCAATGCTGGGTGCTATTACTGTGACCACTGACACATTTGCTGGGTGTTATTATTGCAGCGTCTGGCATCAGTATTGGGGGTTATTATTGCAGCCACTGACACCAATGCCGGGTGCTATTTGATTCATTTGAATGATATTTGGTAGATGCTGAAGACTAAAATCAATGAACAGTTTCTTATATCTCTCGGAATTTTCCTACTCCACCTGCTGTGGTCATTATGAGGGGTTCCCACTTTTCATGCAGGATTTTTGTATTTTATTCTATGAAGAATGTACCAGGAGGAGCTAAAACCCACAGACATAAACAGGAGCACCCAAAACCTCCAGGATGGCAGGATGAGGGAGTCGGAAGTTATGGCAGATAGATCTTATAAGGGTATCCAAGACATATAAGAAGCTAGTCCATGATGCTGGCCCTTCAATACTTTATTTTATAGAGAACATGAGGAAATATAATTCACGTCATTTATTTATTTAGTAATTTAATTGATAATGTAAATTTCTAATCCATTATTATTTGTGTCCCACTCGCTGACCGCAGAGGAGCAGACCAGAGGCATGCGATCTCCTGACTGTCAGAAGTTAGAAGTGTTCAAAACTGACCTGGATTTTTTTTTTTAACATCATTTATTTATTCTTTATTGTATCTATTGTAAAAGTCACCTTTCGTTGTTGGGGTCGGCAATGTTCACGGTGACATCCCCATTAACTTGATCCTTCCCCTCAATGTCATTGGCTTCCACTTTCTTGTCCTTGGCCATGATGGAATCCTGTCTGAAATATAAAAGTTGGAGCAAAGTCAAACAAACATTCTATTTAGCAAACATAACCCTTCAATTATAATGAGACCAGGGGCAATGGCACGAGTACAAGCTGGCACATGTAGCTTCCCTTCTGTGCATTTTTTATTGCGACAAAAAAAATGATAAAAGGTTTCAGGGCCTGTTCACATTTGTCTGTTTTGATTCAGCATTTTGCTACATGAAAGTCAATTTCAAGTAAAAATACCACTCTTGCATAAGCTGGTTCACATCTATGCACTTCAGTTTAGTGTGAATGGAAACCATATAGAACCATGCACACCTAGGCATCTAGCCTAAATATTACTGGTTCAAAAAATAGAAACAAATTTGCAGAAAAGTTGATGAGTCAATCAGGGCTGATTAAGGTTACCTAAAGGTTAAAAAGTGGTCACGTGGGAACAATTACGCTTATACAAAGTTGGATGAGAATGTAATGTTGTACTGTTGAAGATGTTTCACTGCTCATCCAAGTAGCTCCAAGCTCACTCCTGTGATGGACTACAATGCTTAGTTTACTTACTAATTGTTATTGGGATTGTAGTCCATCACGGGAGCGAGCTTGGAGCGGTGACTACTTTACAACACACACAGGGACCATGGAGAACAAAAGTAGCCCCCCTCCAGAAGGAAGGACAGTGTCAGCACCAATTCAGAGATGATTTGAGGCTCTACAGCCGAGTGATACACACATAAGATACATTGTTGTTATTAGTTAAGGTACCTGAATTTAGTGTCAGTTTAACCAGTTGAAGGTCTACGGCGCACACTCTAAAAAGACTTGTGCTTGTTGCATGGCTTAGTTGTTCAGTACACACTGATGCCAGAGACAACTAACCAACTATGTAAAAGTAGAGTTCAGCAACAGAAACCTTTGTTATTGCCACCAGAAGTTCCTGCACTTAAAAATACTGTACCTAATCTTATACACACAGAATAAAATCATCTCATGGCAGTCCCTGCCCCTGAAATAGCTTCCAGGCTGGTTACCCTACTGCACAATCATACAGTCTAGGGCCTTGGTTCTCAACTGGTGGGTCGCTTTTCTAGGTGAGAGGCTTCTCAGCCTCCCCCTATCACAGCACTGTCAGTTCTCACGCCAAGCAGCCATTCAAAATATTCTGCCTATGCAGTGGCGGAACTACCGCCGGTGCAGGCGGTGCTGGGGCACAGGGGCCTGAGGCTGTTGGGGGGCCCAGTGGGGTCCGGTCCTGGGCACCCCCACAGCCTCAGTGGGGTCAAGTCCTGAAACTCCCTGGCTGCTGCGATCCTCTGGCAGGTAAGTCCGAGCGCTGAGGGGGGGAGGGGTGATCTTTTTGATCATATGTTAATGTGCTTAGTGGACAGGATTTTAAGCTTTTGGAAGCTAATTAGCATATTACTTTTAAGTGATAGCCACGCTCTTAAACTTAGACTTCCTTACAGTTGTTATTAAGAATGCATAAACTGTTAGAAGCAACTAATATTTACAATTTGAAAGCGACTAAATCATGTATGTAGATTTTCATATATTTAGTAGTGGAGACCTTACAATTCTAAAGTTATACCCACCATTATGCATTAACATAGCATCAGGGACCAGTCCTTGGAAACATATCACCCCTACCACTGGTCCCACTCACTGTAGAGATTAGATTTGTTTGAGGTGCTTGTAGGAACCACAGGATTTTGTCTAAGAAGATTCAAGCTATTCCTTATGCATGTCTTTTAAGCATATTTTTGTCTTTAAGTTGTAGATCTTCGCTCCCACCTATTGGGATGCCAGTCTATGTTCATAGAAGGTATGTTTTTGACTATTTTTAAAAATCTGGACTGCTAGATTGGTCCCCCGCAAGCTATTTCATGCTTTTTCATGTAATTAGACAAGTGGATTATAATGGGGAATATTACACTGTAATGTTCCCTATTAACTATGTCAGCTTGAGGTGTGGTGGGCTGAAGCTATGGCCACGAGAGAGCCTGATCCATACGTGCATTGCTTACAGCTCCCTTACGTGCCCTGTAGAGGTGCCTGGACCGGAGTGACATCACATTTTGGCTCCCGGGCACTGCTACAGGACATGCAAGGGCTGTACAAGCAATGCACATTGGGATGGAGCTCTGTCACAGCACAGCAGCCCAAACTGGACCCCAGGCTGAGGATTCACTCCAGTTCTTAGAAGGTAGGGAGACTGGGTGGATCTTAAAAAAAAAAAGAAAAAAAATTACATTTTTTTTGGGTGTGTGTATATGTGTGTGTCTTTGAGGGCCAGTTCACACTAGTACAGTGTTAATCAAACAGTCCTCTGCAATGAACTCACTGTACCATACAATCGCACTTACTACACGCTCTGGTGCGGGAGGTGTGTTGCGTTGCCATTCATTTAAATGGCACCCCAAACGTACCTCCTGCCCACAGTTCAATCACCCGCACTAGAATGCTCGGTACCGCAATGCTGTGTGTTCCGTTGCAGTGTGACTCGGGTCGCGACTTAATGACCAAGGACAAATGTGGGTCCTGAGGTTACATAGGTTGAGAATCACTGGTCTAGGGCACGGCTTCTCGGCCAAGGTTCACCCAAAAAGTCCCCAGGGGTTCCGCCATGGTCAAGGGTTGCATTGGATTTACATTTGCTCAAAGGTGGCTTTTATGCCCTGACACGTAGGGGTGTATTTATAAACGATTTGCAGAGTAATTTGCCCTGTGAATCTCTGAATGTTCTTAGTTTATTTTCTTTTCCAAGTAAATGTAATTGTCAGAAAATACTGAATTACGGCCACTTGATGGGGCTGAGGTGCACCGAAAATATGTTTTTATTTCCTGTGCTCTTCAGCGCTATCTAGTGGCCATAATGTGTTATTTTCCTAATATTACATTCGACTTACATATATACTTACATATACCGGTAGGATGTTCGTTGTTCTGCACAGAATGAACGTTCACAGTTTTACAGGACATACAGCTATGCAAACTGTTTATATATACACCCACAGTTTTCCTGAGTACCGCTGGGCGGACTGATATCAGCCCAGTGGTAGCCTTAGAGTTCCGGCTCCTGATGTCACCAAAGACAGCAGTGTGGGATGAGAAGAGTGGTCTTCACAGAGCAAGCAGCACAGGGCGATAGGACTCCCGTCTACTGCTTATGGTAAGTACTAAAACTTAGGAAAGCAAGCAAAAACAAGGGAAACACAACAAGGCACGGTAATATGAAAAGTGGCTTTTAGTGGTCTGAGGCTATGTTGAACCACCTATACTTTGATGGTTGCTTTTGGGCACTGCACACATGCAACGTCTTAAAGGTAAATAACATGGACCTGCACTGAACATGGGTGCAGAGTGAAGTTTGCACTGAACACCAATGGAAAGTTAAAGGTATGCAATAACCCCCAACTGTAAACGGGTAAGATGTAATAATTATTCCTTTATTTTGTGTTATATCTTCAAGTCACTAATCACGCTAACGTTCCGTGAGCTGAAGATCAAAATATTATGCAGGGGTGTTCCTCAAGATCTGAAATTTTTTTCCAATGTAAAAAGATTGAGAAAAGGCCTTTGTAAAGTAACAATGGAGAGAGAGAGAGAGAGAGAGAGAGAGAGAGAGAGACGAAGAAAAAAAAAAAGACTATAAAGAGAGAGAGAGAGAGAGACGAAGAAAAAAAAGAAAGACTATAAGGAGATAAATACAGGAAGAATAAAGCTGAGAGAGAGAGAGAGAGAGAGAGAGAGAGAAAATAAAGATGAGAGGGAGGTGGTAAAGAAAGAAAAAAAGGAAAGAAAGAGATAAATACAGAAACAATAAAGATGAGGAGAGAGAGGGAGAGAGAAAAGAACGAAAGAAAGAAAAAGAAAGAAGGAAACTATAAAGAGATAAATACAGAAACAATAAAGATATGAGAGAAAGTATAAGAAATAGAGGCCAGTTTATTGACTTAAAAAAACTTCCAGATTAAATCCCAGGGACATAATAGCATACAGTTCGGGCGCCTATATATTACTATATACTGTTTATTAATAATAAGTGCGCTCCCGGTGGTCGGCAGTCACTCACCTGTCCCCGCTCAGTGAATCCGGTGTCTACAATCCTCTAGTATCCGGTGTGGTGATTCCTCCGGCCGGTGTTCGGTGTTCGGAGGACTATGACACAGAGACGGAGATCACACAGCTAGCGGACAATATTGCCGGGTCGGCTCCTCCTCTGTGTCATAGATGGAGATTGATTGGTGTGGTCGGGCGGTGGTTGGCTGTGTGTATGGATGGGACAGTCAGTGTGTCCAGCCCTCCTCCCTGTTACATCATGCTGTATCCTCCTCCCTCCTGTCTATATACAGGTTCTCCCCCTCATCGGGTCTTCTGGAGGTTAATGACTTGTGAACATCCTGTGAGATGACAGACATCATTCATATTCCTGCCTGAGCTCCTCCATGGATTGTCTGCTCACTCTGTCTATGGATACATTGTTGCTGAATCTGTCACTCTGGAAGACATCTGAGATCAGCGGTTTTCAGTGGAGCTGTCATTGCTAATCTCATGAAAATGCCAGTTCAATGGCTGCCATGCTGCTCCTTTGGCTTCAGTGCTGAGTCCGTGACACCTTGCTGCATGGAAAGGCACAGCAGAGACAGCCAGGCCGCTAGCATTTTCAAAGGAGGCCAGTAATGCAAACCTTTCATGGCAGCCTTTGTTTCTTTCATGACAGCTTTGCTTTGACAGACCACAAGCACTTGGCAGGTGCCAATACATAGGTGTATGTGGTTGTCGCAATTGATAGGTCACGCTACTCACTCTGGCAGGTTACAACGTTATTTTATAGGGTTAAAATTCCAGACAGGTTGTTATTTCTCTCTGTGACCCCATTAGGGAGATTCTTCTTCACTTCCTGTCTTTGTGACACTCGTACAAGAAACAGGTACAGTCATTTGTGGTCAATAACAGGCATGAACAGACTTAATAATATTATTCCTGCCCTGGAATTAAAGTGTATGTACATC